TTTTTGTCAGACTTTTTTCTCGATTCAAAAACTGTTTGCTTGCACCTAAATTTCGGTTGTAAATTAATGTATTGTGGTCTCCAACTCACTCATTTTTTTTAACTGATAAAACGTTTTATGAATTCTAAAGTAATATAAGTTTAAGGGTATGAGAAATCATATTTACTTAAAATATACATTTTTTCAAAACATATAGAGATTACCACATTTTGTATACTATGAATAATTCTATATTTACGTTTTATTTTAAGTCGAGTGATGATCTAATATTCATTACTTTGTTTTATTAAACGATGTGAAACAATACTAAAGTGACCTAATGAAAACAAATGCCGAACACGTTAATGCATATCACCCATTATTTATGCCAACTTAGTGTTCCATTTTCAACTCCATTTAAATAACTAATGCGAAAACCTTCGCTTTAAATTCCACTCCATCAATATTCTCAACATCACAAAATTCTCTCATTACTGGTGAACAATGTATGAATTTACGTAATTCCCCACCGGATTTTGCATGCCTACAAATGCAATTTAAAGCGAAACCAAAGCTACTTCCACACCTTGGATGTGTGGATATACAACGCTTATAGATATTAGCATACCAGTTGACTCAAATTAACTCGATTTGAGCTTGAGCTTGGGCGTTTTTCACACACTCACGCTCATCGGAATCGAAATCGACAACGAGAGCCAAACAAAAACACACTCGAAGATACATTCACATTGCTCGGTTTGTTATTGCCGGCTCAGATGATAGATAGATATAAGTACAAAATACCCCCAAGATATATAAGTACCTACATTGACTTGCGGCTTTGGCTTGTTCAAATAATAGACATCAGATTAAAATTAAGGAAAACTCATGGCTGAAGAAAACAAGTAACTAGCAACTACGAGTAATTCCCCGAATCGTGTCTAACCCAAGATGAAAATCTCTTATCTAATGAATTTTTATGGGCGTTCGTCATGTAAATAAAATCCAACAAAACAACAGACGAGAGATGATAATTTTAGAGACAAGCTTTGGCTGGGCTTTGTTAATTTCTGGCTGTAGCTTATTTTTTTCCTGCCTTTGAGTTGCGGAAAAATTTGTAATTGAAAATGTTTTGCATGTTAACTGAACTGTGAAAAAATAACAAAACAGCGAAGACCTGAACGAAAACAATAAAAAACCTGTAGGTATATATTTAAATGGGAATTTGTTCTGCGAACAATTTCTGTGAACTACCTCCTAACTCCCGCTCAAAAGTCAAAGTTCAGTGGTATTGTATTCGACCGTTTGTTTGTGTGACTTTGGTCTTAATTTGTATAATGCATGCACCTCGGGAGCCGAAATTATCATTTCAACAACCGCAAGCGATTTGTGTCCACATGACGAAACAGCACAACAAAAGCTGTGAAATTGGTATGGGTACACTCATAGAAATTTTCCGGTAAAATCGCCCTAAAAACAAGGAAAATCGCCCTAAAACGGGGGTCAATGGCGACTAGGCAACAAAATTAGGGCAAATTGCCCTAAAAATACGGGTGAATTTGTCATACATTTAGGGCGATTTTTCGTAGATCTAGGGCGATTTTTCTATTTTCACAGGTAATTGCCATAAAAATAAGAAATGAGACCCTTAAACTAAAGGCAGTTTCCTTTAAATCCATGGCGATTTTTCTGGACTTATAGGCGAATAGCCCTGGAAATCGGAAAAAATACCTTTAAACTAAAGGCAGTTTTTTATAAATCTAGGGTGTTTTTCTGGATTTTAGGGCGAATTGCCCTAGAAATAAGGAAAAATATCCTAAAACTAAAGGCAGATTTTCATAAATCTAGGGCGTTTTCTCTGGATTTATAGGCGAATTGCCCTAAAACATGCAAATGCTCCCCAAAATTTTACGGCCATTTTTCATAAATAAAAATACGATTTCATTATATTTTTTTTGTTTTTTTTTTTTTTTTTGTTTGTTGTTATTTACACAATTTCTAATTATATACATTTACATACTTTTCTAATTATTCTTATTGCTAAAAGAATTACATCGATCTTATTACTATAAGTACTGATTATCAAATTTTACTTCTAATTGAATGCATAGAAATAATATTTTTTTTTGGAATGAACAGATTGTTTCTTTAAAATAGTTACAGTTTTAAGGTTTTATAATCCTTCAAGAGTTCGGATAAAGCTTTACCTTTCTTATCAGACTCTAAATGAATTTCATAAAACATTTTTTGGATAAATGTCGTGGTTTAAAACAAAAAATATTTTGAAGCACACATCAATACTTTTCAATAAGGTTCGCATTCTATAAAAAAACCTCTGATAGGTAAACTGGAAATTCACCAAGGTCAAAAAGGGCTTGTTCCCACGTTGCAGCTGAATGGTTGCAGTTTCGGCTTTCCGGATTAGCAATTTTCCGTCAATGCCTTTAGATGTGTTTGCAGTTCCCCAACAGTAGCCTTCCAAACCAAGAAACGGCTTCGAGGGTCCGCAATGGTGTTCTTCGCGTTCTTGCTCCCGCCGTCCTTTTTTGTCATTGCTGTCGCACCAACACTGAATGGATCGCAAGCCAAATTAAAGTTGATTGTATCTCTATTAAATAAAAACAGTCTATTTATTGAATGAGAAAAGAAAAAAAGAAAAAACACATACCTTCAGCGTGGCTTTCCAAAGATTTGAGCAGTTTTATTCCCTTACTTTCGCTTTTGAAAAGTGCGAAAAGTGGTTTGCGGAAGCTGGATCTCAAAGACGTTCTCAATCTAAAACAAAAAAAAAAATTGTTAGAAATTAATTTAAAAATGCACTACTAACAGTCAGAATTTTCAGAATTTTAGCCTGCGATTGCGTTTGCTGCTACTTCTGGAAAAAATAAGCAACAAAAGCAAATTTCAGTTACTGACGAAATGACGCAATAGAAATTTGGGGTTATGTTGGCATATGCACTTGTGAATGCGGTTTGTCCGGTGCATAAATACAGATTTCTGGTAAATATATACATATGTACACAAGTGTGTATTCTGTTGCATCATATTTTTACCTCAAGCATTATTTACATATACACATACATATATGTATACTCTTATTAATGTTTTTACTTTGTTCTGCCACACTTCCAAAACTCTACATCTGGACCGCTGCTTCCAGTCAAATCTTTTTAAGTTTCAGCTGCATTTTCCTCTGTTACAGATATGTAAATTCAATTAGTTATTAATATCCAAATTGCACAATTATATATGTATGTACTCACCAGAAAACTGAGAAAGAATCGCCTCCCAAGTCCTTTAATAGCGTTTACATTTTTCACTTTTTCACAAACAAAAGGTTTCATACAAACACGTCTTTTACTGCCAAGCGCCCGAAAAATTATGACAAAGTCTAGACAACGCAACTCTTTCTACCCCCACCCTTGCCACTGCAACGGACGAAAAGTAGCGAAGAAGAAGAAAAAGGGTGGACTTTTCTAAAGTCAAATGCGCTCAGCATCAAAATTCATAGAAAAAGGTCCGCCCTAATATACACACACATTCACTTGTTTTGACCTGCCAACCACACACACATACACACATATTACATGTGTATCCATTAATTGCGTCTTAGAATTTCGTTTGACTCTTCCTTGTTTTTAGGGCAATTTCAGAACATATTTTTGGCTATTTTGTTCTGCGTTTTAGGGCGATTTCGCCCTAAAAAGAAGGAATTACTTTTGGAGTCGACTCATAAAAATTCGCCCTAAAAAACAGGGCAAATTTGGCGTTTCGGAAAAACTAACCCTAAAAAATATTTTCCATGGCGATTTTTCGTATATTTAGGGCTAGCCACCCGTATAATAAGAAAATTTTTCGTAGTTTTAGGGCGACCTCGGTTTTAGGGCGACTTTTCTAGTATTTAGGTAAAAATTTCTATGAGTGTAGCTCACTTTGTAGTTGCCATTTCGCATTCAACTTATCCCTGCTTAAATGATGCTTAATACACACGACACGAGTCCAATAAATTAAGTACTTCAGCGTACTTAACTTTCTCCACCCTGCTCTATAAATCGCTCATTCTCAAAGGCAATTCATTAATGTTTATTACCTCCTACGCAGTTCAAGAAATTACCCATTCTAATTAGGTTTATTCGGGGCTAGGTCAATTTCATTTCTATTCGCTCACAACACCAACAAATGACGTCAAACTGAGATAGAGCCAATTCATTTGCACCTTTTGAGAAAGTTGAGCTAGTAATGCCTCATTTTTTCACAATTATTTATTTATTCGTCGCTCATATCGCATTGAATTTCAAAGTGAATCGAAATGCTTGATGAATTATTTAAAGACCTGGGTGCAATCGTTATCTACTCAACACGCTGTCCAAGTCAAATGCCCCTGAACTCATTAAATCTGTGGCCAAGACAGGTGTGTAAATGGCCACTCGATTGCCCTATCAAAAAAAGGCATTCGAAAAGTGGAACACCCAAACAAACGCAGAAAAGCCATCAACAAAAACTGGTAATGATAAGAAGATTGATAAGTTTGGTATGTTCTCTGGTCGCGATAAGAAAATGTGCAAAAGATATGCTTAGAGTTAACAAAGAATTTTTCGGCTATGGGGAACGACGAATGTCCTTCTTTAAAATAGGAAAATCGAAGAAGTTTTTGTATGTATACTTAAATTTCTATTTATATAATTAAAACTATTCCTAAAACACAATATTTATAAAAATGGTAAATATTTAAATATATTGTAAACCACCTACAGATTTTTAGATATTTTAAACAATTTATTTAAAACAACTTATTAATAGTAAGATAACTTTAAAATTTTAAAAAATAAACACGAATATTATACATTTTCGACATAACCCTTTAATTTCAAAAACGATGATCTAAAAATGTTAGTATTCCTTATTTACCTAGGTTAAACAATAAAATTGAAGAGTTGAACCTTCTTATCACTCCCAATTATCATTTCCCAAGTTTAAAATTTTCCGAAATAAATCAAATACCAAATCTAGTGATCACTTACCGACTGACGAGGTTCGACTGGAGTCTCTTGGCGGGCGGCGATGTGGGCGTGGTGGGTGAGGTGGGGGACTTGGGCGCTTTACCCGAACGGGGGGCGCTACCACCCACTGACCCGGCGCCAACTGAGCCTTTATCCAGTGGCTGCCGCGTTGGCGGGGTCGCGTGTGGGGGCGGCGAGGGCGTGGCATTGGCCTTGGAGCTGCTGCTGCTGCTCCGGGTGCTGCTAATCGATCTCTTGGCCAGAAGCGATTTGGGCGGCACTTTGGGCGTGACCGAGGGCGAACGCCGGGCACTAGAACTACTCACACTCGGACTTCCGCGCGGACTCGAAACGGTAACGGATGCCGAACCGGAAACGGAAACGGAACCCGAACCCGAACCGGAAACAGGACTCATGATCCGTGTGGTGGACACTTTCGATTTAACATCATTATAGTTTGTCTTGATCAGAGACTTATTACTGGCGATCTTATTCATCACGGCATCCCATTTGTTGGGCGTGTGCGCCTTGCGATTTAGCGGCGATTTGGGCGATTTCAGGGCTTTGGGCGATTTCAAGAGGCGCGCTTTGGAAACGCCAGCGTTTTTGGTGGCAGATTTGCACGATTTGGGGGAGGCGATCGAAGAGCCCGAAGAAACGGAGCCGCGGAAATTCTCCACCGTGCAGAGAGACGACAGCGAAGCGTGCGGACGCGGCGAGCTGCTCTTCTGAACTGAGAGATTTGCCGTCGTCGGCGGCGATCGTACCGCCGCGAAAGCTTCGTCGCCGCAGAAACTTCGGGCGCTGCCGCCGTCGACGCTGCAGTAGGAGGTGCGGTTGGAGAGCGACAGAGAGAGCGTCGTGTTGGCCGAGGAGGAAGAGAGACAGCTGCTGGGGGGGCGCTGCTGCGGAGCCAGCTGATTCTGCTGCAGTTGCTGCTGCTGTTGCAGTTGGGTGGCAGTGGGGGTGGGCTGACCTTGACCTAGGCAGGGGGAGAGAGAGGACATTAGCAGCGAACATCAAGCGTATAGAATATCATGGGTAGTCTAGAAAAATCAGATTCTATAACTAGACTAGCTTACTTTGATTCTACACAATTCTTCAGTGCAAAATATATAAAAGATTAAGCTTCAATCTAATTATGATTCTTCCAAAAAATGTGTGTATGAAATCTACCTAAAAATTGGTAAAGGATTTAAAACTCTTATTTTCCATAATAAGTTTAAAACATAAGCAAATTAATCATTCATCATAACTAACTAGACTAGCTTACTTTGATTCTACACAATTCTTTGGTGTAAAATATTTAATAGACTAAGCATCAATTTAAGTATGATTCTCCCAAAAAATAACTAAAAATTGGTAAAAATATTTAATCTACTAAGACTAAAATATTTAATAGACTAATCGTCAATGATTATGATTCTCCCAAAAAATATGTGTTAGAAATTTGACTAAAAATTGATAAGGGATTTAAAACTCTGATTTTCCATACTAAGTTTAAAGCATAAGCAAATTAATCATTGATCATAAGTAGTGTAACTAACTAGACTAGCTTACTTTGATTGTACACAATTCTTTGGTTTTATGATTCTTTCAAAAAATGTGTGTTAGAAAGCTACCTAAAAATTGGTAATGGATTTAAAACTCTTATTTTTCATACTAAGTTTAAAACATTAATCAATGATCATCATAACTAACTAGACTAGCTTACTTTGATTGTACACAATTCTTTGGTTTTATGATTCTCCCAACAAATGTGTGTTACAAATCTACCTAACAATTGTTAATGGATTTAATGGATGTAAATCTGAGATTTTTGTATACCAAATTTAAAATTAATTTTATTTTTCTGAAATTTTTTAAGTAGCAATCTTAAAACGGTAATTGTGACTTAAGATACTTCTGAAACTAGTGATTTATTATTATAATCGATATTTGGAAATTAAATTTATTGAATCTCTTTAAATAATATTATGGTTATATGATATAAGGATAAAGGAATAAAACAAAAATGTAAATCAAAAGAGGAAATACAATTTAAACTTGATGGTTAAAATGGTTTTGCTAGATTACCAACCATATTGCTATCGTTACTTCTCACCTTTTCGCATGGTCTTTGTGGAGTCATCCGGCGACATGTCCACATCGACATCCACCTCCAGTTCCGGCTGCCTCATCTCCTCGTCGCAGCGGTTCTCCACATCGGTGAATATGCCCGACGACTCCATGCAGGAGTCCTCCATTCGGGGCACCGAGGCACTGGGCTGCATCATATCGGGCCCATACAGCTGGCCATCGATCACCTGGGCTCGTCGATCGCCGCGATGCAGGACATCGTCTGCATCGGATTCGGTGAAGAAATCGGAGTCTGTCATGGGATCCTGGCGCCTCAGGGGCGCTGGATTTGGAGGCGGGAAGCTGGGCTGGCGACTCACGCGGCCCAAATGGGGTCCATTGCTCGGCGAGTGATCACAGGCGCCCCGGGAAGCGGGACGCGACATCTCCCCATCACCCTGGTAGCCCGTATCCAAGCTAGTCACACTGGTCACGCTGGTAATGAAGCTATTGCTCAGCTTCGAGTGCTGCGAAGTGTTCACCTGATTGGCCTGCGAAGCCTCCACCTGCTTGACAATCTCTGATTTAATCTCAATGGGATCTAGAGGCAGTTCCTCCGGCGAAGGCGTCTGTTCCATTCTCAGCTGCATGAGATTCGGATGATGCATCCTCACCAGCTCCAGATTGTGCATTAGATTGTTGTGCGGCGAGTCGAGAAAGTCCTTCATCTGATCGGGCGTCAGAATGCCGAGGCTCTCGTCCAGATCGAAGGAGCTCTGCTTCTTGAGCAGCTGCTGCTGCAACTGCTGCAGTTGGGTGGACGAGGAGAACGAGTTGTCCACCAGTTCGATGGAGCAATCCAGCGTTGTGTCCGGCAGATCCAGGCCGAAGCTATAGCGCGTTCGTCCTCGATTCCCCGCGGAGGTCAGCGTGGCGTCCAGGGCTCCATTGCCATCCAGGGCTAAGTCGCCATCCGGCGTTCGAGTGGGCAAAACCAGAGCACTTTGTGCCTGCTTCAGTAGTGGCGAAAGCAGATGAACTGGCTGCGGAGTTGCCTGACCCATCAATCGCATTCCATGGGGCGTTGTTGTGGCCGACTGGGGCGACAGGCAGAGCAGCGAATGCTGGGGAATGGATCTCCGATGATGGCTCCTCCCCGAGGAGGAGCTGCCTCGCTCCAGTTCCTGCGTCAGGTTCAACAGCTGTATGTGCCTCGGCGATTGTAGACCACTGATGTCCAGCAATCTCTCGGTATTTAGCGTCGAGTTCAATGGCAGCTTCATGTTGCTCTTATCCGGTGCCAAACTCACCAACGTCACGTCCAGCGTGTCGTCTGTTTCCTGGTCTAATCTCCCGACATTACCAGATCCCCTGGAACTCAGGATGTCCAAGCCGGAGGGCATGGATATGTGTTCCAGCAGGGGCAACTGATCCATGCTCAGGGTTAAATTGGCTCCTTGGTGGATCACCTTCGTATAGTCCCCGGGTTCGTTTATAGTAGATCTAGTTAGATTTGTAGCTCCTCTATCGATGGACTTTGTAAGATTGAATCCAGCTTCTATTTGTCTAGGTTTATCTTCTATGGTTTTTGTGAGATTTACTCCCCTTTGATAGGTTTGAGTGCAGTTCGCAGCTACCTCAAAGGTTTTACTTATACTAACTTCTCTATCAACCGAACTAGTGAGATTTCCAGCTCCCTCTAAAGTTTTCGTAATATTTCCCACTCCCTCTATAGTTTTCGTGATATTTCCCACTCCCTCCACCACTTTGGTAAGGTTTCCCATGCCTGAAGAATTTGCAGATATAGTTCTGGTGCAATCCTTAGTCGGAATAACTGGCATTGTTCTACCCATTATTCCAGAGGAGTTAACCGAATGTGTTGCATTACTTCTCAGGCTGACTGTCATCTCGTGAGTGGTATCCAATGAGCAAAAGGTTTTTAGCAAAGTTTTCGATGAGCTTTGATTGGGTCTCAATATTTGAGTGATTTCTGTGGAGGGTGAAGCACCTTTTACCACTGGTGAATCGGTATCCATATCCATGGTTCTTCCGAAGGTGGACAACCGCGTGCTCTCCAATTTCGTGCGATCCTGTTGCTCCTCATCCTCGCAAACAAAAGTCTCCGATCGCAGGAGCGGCATTGGGGTGCTGCTGGTCAACTGATCGTTGATCCCACGTTTGCCCACGGGAAGTGGAGTCACTGGCAGTGAGCTCGTCATCGCGGAGGGACTTGATATAGATGACGATTGCGACTTGGGACTGAAGTACTTCTTCAGGACGGTGGAGGTCCTCTTGCTGAGCAGACTGACCGCATTGTTGATCCGCTCCCCGCTGGCGCTCTTCTTCAGACTGCTGCCCAAATCCCGCAGAGCGGCTGAAGATGGAGCATACGAGCTGGCTGGACGCGGCTTGGCCGGAATGCTGGGTGCTCGGAAAATCTGCGTGGCCTTGGGAGCACTCGTCGGTGGTCGAATGTGCTGGGTGGTGGTGGTGCTACTGATGGTGGTTTTATTGGTGGAACTGCTGCTGGCCAGGCCAAAGGAACTCGGCTTCGGAAGCCGCGAGACGCCACCCAGGTGGGGAATGCGCGTTGCGGAAGGATCCTGCAAATGAAAACGAAAACACAGAGAATGTAATTAAGTTTAAAAGCAAGAAAAGATGCTCTCTGCACACAAATTACACCAGATGGTGTGCTCCCAATCCGCTTGTATTTCCATTACCACTATTTTTCATGACCTCAACATAGTACACCATAAAAAAGGGGATTCTTTTTTAATATTTTTGAAACATATATTACTTGGATAGCTTAAGGCCCCGTAGCTATAGCTAAGTTTAAGTTCGTCTGTAAATTTTACATTATATTCGAACACTTTATAATAATAATAATAATAATATTACTTGAAATATTTATATTTATGATATTTAATAAGGCTTAATTCGTACATTACGATCTTAAAACACCATAAAATATTTTCAAATGCCTTTAGCAGGTTCTTGTACTCATTTACTAGACGGATTCTTTTGGTGTAAACTTTTCTGTCGCTTTGGCGCCACATAGATCCTTTTTGCCATCCGCATCCTGCACGTGCTCAGACATTTTGGCAGTGGCCAATGTGGTGCAAAGTAGTTCAGTGGGGCGTTTCCACTTGGCACCAGTTCAACGCACTTTAAAGCAGTATCAGAAACAGGGTTGATATTCCCCCGAATTCCCTTTATGCTTTTGCTGATGTCACCGAAATTTCCGCAGCTCCCTTTTCAGGGCGAGTTTATATATTTTTTTTTACCATTTTCAACCCCTCAGAGCTAATTGCAGTTTAATCAAATCAGGGATATAAAAAGGAGCAACGACTTTAGGAAAAGACGCTGTCAACGCTGAACTAAAAGCTGATGGCAGGGTGAAAAGCGCAGTGGCGTCTCAGCCATAATGGGCTTATAGCCTCGCAGGGGGACATTATCACTCAGCGAGCTAATTATGCACGTACAGGGAGCAAAAAAGGGGTGGGAGATTTCAGAAAAAGAGGTAAAACCGTGTGCTATGTAGGAGATAAGTAAGGTGCTGAAGAAATGGTAGTACAAAATAAACATTTTGATTACAGGATTGACCTAAATGTTCAGCTTTTAAGGTATTGCTACACTGTCATTATGTTTTAATAGAAGCCATACAGATTAAATTAAGGGTTGAGACCAGGGACCGTAAATAATGATTATTTTCGCTATTTTTAAATGAATAAATCACACACTTCCAATCAACATAGAACAAGCATGACTAGCACGTTTTTATCCTTTAAGGCTACACTATGAATATCCTTGATGATTTTTAATTTTTAATTGTTATATTTATTCTTCTATTGTTAAACATTATTTTTGAGCAAAAAAAATAAAAATCACAAATAATCATTATTTTTGAGCAAAAAAAATAAAAATCACAAACAATCATTATTTTTGAGCAAAAAAAATAAAACTCAAAAATAATGATTATTCGTGATTTTTATTTTTTTCGCTCAAAATAAAACTCACCAAGCAACAACTTTTAATCCTTCAAGGATATTGCCAATATTGTCCTATGTACTTATAAAGGGACCCTAGAGCAACAATTGACAACAACAACAACAAAACGTATTTTACCTGTGTTTGTTGCAATTATTTAATATAAGGTCAACTGTTACATACAGAGCAGCAGCAGCAGATATACACAATTACTAAAACAATGATTATAATGATAATGATAATCATCATAATGATCAACCAGTAGATTAGGTACATTAATTTTAAATTTATTATGCATTTATGTATTTATATAATTTTTATTTAATTTTAGGAATAACAATTTTGACAGCGACTCGCTCGACAAGTTGCACCTTTGGTCGGTTAGCATTATTTTAAGCGCAGAAAAGGCACGCTCTACGCTAACTTGGGTAGCTGGAACCGCAAACACCACCTTAGCAAGCTGATATAAATTATCATTATAATCCAGGGACCGTAACTGTTATGAGTTTTATTTTAAAAATCACATTTTAACAGTTATTTTCTGATTTGTAAAGTAAAACTCAAAGAATAACTGTTATTTTTTTGAGTTTTATAATAAAAGTTGACAAATAACAGTTATTCGTCAGATCAAAAATAAAACTCAAACTTGATTTATGGCGATTTTGTGGGTAAAATAAATTTTAAAAAAATATAGTTATACAATATGCGCGGTTGGCTTTTTTTAAGATTTTTAGTAAGTTTATAAAACACGGTTAGCATGTTTTTTTTAAGTTATTTCATTTTTTCAGAAATAACTGTTATTCATAAAAATCAACAAATAACTGTTATTTTTTGAGTTTTAAGGCCTCTTTACAGTTCAGATGGAATGTCACATGGAATCCAATTTTTCATACAAATTTCAAAATCTGAGATGGAATAGATTCCATTTTCTATTTCATTTTTCATTTCGAGTTTACACTTCAAATGGAATTTGGTCAAGATTCTAAGAAAAGCCTCATATGTTTAACATAGATTAAAACAATTTTGAATAGAAGCCCTTGTAAAATTTAACATTTGCTCGACAGTAACAGAACTTTGATCTGTTAAGGTTATTTTACTTGACTCGATTGGAATATGTGTGTGAGTACATATTCCATGAGAGGTTATATGAAATGAATGGTGTTCATTTCGTTTGTTGTCAAAGTGATTGTGGTTCCAAAAAATATCTGGAGCTTGAAAAAATAAAAACAATGCAACAAAGAGGATTCAATCGTAAACACCATGCGCACTGACTTGTTTATAGGATTCCATGCAGCCCTCCCATTCAAAAAGCGGTCCTTTTAATAGCCCATGGGTGGAAACAAGGCTTATAAGAAGAAGATGAAGAAAACCACAGATCCTGTGGATAATACAAACAGGAGATTTTCTGAAGTCAGCCAATGAACTTATGTCTTATCACTGGTGCAGCAAAATAAATATATTGTAAAATTAGAACTTGTCTTCGATTTTTTCATTGGCAGGATGGTTTTATAGGCAAAGGTTCTGCCATAGCACAGACCATGGGAATATAACTTGTTTCTGATCATCTAACAATAAACCATTCGTAAACCAATATATGGATGCAGCTATGTAATATTATTTGTAAATATTAGGATTTTAAAACCGCTAGTGCGTACGATTAAAAAAAATATAGAATTAGTGAGATCCAATAATGCACTCAGAAAAGATTCAAATAAAATCTATCATCCATTGTAAAAGCAGACACAATAGTTTTAATTTGCAAATTACGTTTTTTAAATGTTGTGAGACATTGCAACATTTTTTAGAGATATTTTAACCAAATAATAACAGGAAATGTACATTTGAATACAACAATTTTGTCAGACCAAGCCAGCTTTTTAAAATTGTTTCACCGAAATAACAACAGACTATGTTAACGGGCTTGAAACATATGAAATTCCATTTGAAAAATTCCTACTGAGGTGTAAAGAGGCCTTTATTATAAAAATCAAATAAATAAAAATCATTACGGATTTGTAAACTACAATGGCTAACAAAAATAGTGGTGTATTTAAAAAAATTTTAGGACTCTTCTAAGTGCATGATTTTTTTGGTATGAAAAATTTACAATAACAGTTATTTTCGGTCCCTGTTATAATCATTGTTTTAGTCATTGTGTATATCTGCTGCTGCTGCTCTGTATGTAACAGTTGACCTTATATTAAATAATTGCAACAAACACAGGTAAAATACGTTTTGTTGTTGTTGTTGTCAATTGTTGCTCTAGGGTCCCTTTATAAGTACATAGGACAATATTGGCAATATCCTTAAAGGATTAAAAGTTGTTGCTTGGTGAGTTTTATTTTGAGCGAAAAAAATAAAAATCACGAATAATTATTATTTTTGAGTTTTATTTTTTTTGCTCAAAAATAATGATTGTCTGTGATTTTTATTTTTTTTGCTTAAAAATAATGAATATTTGTGATTTTTATTTTTTTTGCTCAAAAATAATTATTAGTTTTGATTTAAAAAATTAAAAATCGATAAGTAATCATTACAAAGTAATTTTTAAAATATTACTTATAATGATTACGGTCCCTGGTTGAGACTAAAAATGAAATATATTCTACCACTGAATAAATAAACTTAGAAAGCTAAACAACAATGAACTTAAAATTCCTGTAAATATATGGAAAAACTAGTTATGTTTCATTTATAAGTCATTTGATTTTTTTGGCAGCTTAGAAAAATAGAAAGGCATTTAATTAGAAATAAAACCCATTTCAAGTTTGCCCTCAAAATGATCCTAGAATCGGGAAAGGCCTGTGTGCTTCTTAGAGCCCGTTTACCCCTTGCCTTTAATCACCTGAAAAGGATGTCAGCTATTCAAATCTTTCACGCGGGATCCTTAAGGCAAAATTCAGCAGGTGTTGTTACAAATAATCACCTTCCCATTAAAAGATCGAAGGACCATAAGTTCACATCTCAAAACATGGATTGGATTAAAAGAAGCTACACTACCCAATCAGCTTCCACTCAGACCGCAACCACTGTGAAATTGAGTAAAAGGGAGCAACTGAAGCGGGCTTTCAAGGAGTATGGAGCCACAATTATCGCCTTTCACGTGGGCATATCGGTGATTTCCCTGGGAGGATTCTATTTACTCGTTTCCAGTGGAATAAACCTGATGCCCGTACTGGAATTCCTGGGAATTGGCTCATCGGCGATGGCCGAAAAAGTGGCCACTGGAAGCACCTTTGTCGTGGCCTTTGCCGTTCACAAGGTCTTTGCTCCAGCCAGGATTAGCATTACACTGGGTACTACACCATTTATAGTGCGATATTTACGATCGAAAGGACTCCTGAAGCCAAAAACGGGAAGTACATAGAGATCTAAAATAATATGTAGTTTATCTACCTATCTAAAATAATATGTAGTTTATTTTAGATTTTATTTTACTGTTTGAAAGCTAATAAAAATCTGAAAAGTAAAAACACAAGAAAAATTATTTTAATGGTTTTTTTTTTAAAAGCATTTATGTAGTTTTCTGTAAAATGAATTTGTTTCAAAATGTCAAAATAAATTTTGTTTCTTTTTAATCGATGTTAATCAAAAAGACTTAGTCTTACATCATTCGGGATAATAAATCAAATAAAATTAAAATTAAATTTCTGCATGCTTTATTTCTTATTTGAATTAAGAACTGAAGCTTACAAAATGGCAAAGAGTCCTTTCAGTATTCCCATTTATATCCGCTCCATATCATCGACACCATCATCCCAAAAAGTTGGTTTAATGTGCTAAATGCTTGCCAAACAATATCCGACCGCCAACTTTGCCAACGTTTAGACTGACAAGGCAAAGTTTCTTCATCTTCATCTTCCGATCTGTTCTGTGTTCTCTGTTCTTTTTTTTTTGGGTACTACTGAGGCCAAATTTGCTGCATGCCACACAATATGAAATGCACTCGATGGCAGTTTACACAGGCCGACTTAATCGAAAATGCAATTTCAACAGACAAGTTAAACAAGCGCCGCCTGCGTCTCGAACTTTTTGGGATTTTGTGGAGAGGGATGTGGAAATAAAATCTACAATGTGGCCGCCACACCCGCTGTCCTTGAACTTTTTCGCGTAAAAGTTTGCGCCCGAGAACCCCAACCGAAAAGCGATTGTTATCAAGTGCAAAATGCACAAAAGTTTCCGCCCAAAAAGGTGGAGGGTCCCTGCCACCCATCCCCCTATAAAAAACTGCTCCTTTCTCAGCTGCGTTCGCCATATGTGGCCATAATTATTCGAATATGGCACGATAGCCAAAACTGTGGAGCGGGAGCAGCTGCTTCGGGGAAATTAAATGTTATCGATAACTGCGCCGGGAGAATTTGCATAATGGCCTTTTGGCAGTGCAATATGAGCTGTGTCCTCGGGGGCATTCGTGTGCAGGATAATGAAGCAAACATTCCCGATTAAGCGGTAAATTATGGGGCTTACTTGACCGGCAATTCAAGCGAAAGCAATTAATTGCGAGCTGTGTGGGAAGTTCTTTTTCTCGGGTTGAAATATATTGATTTATCGATATAATAATCTAAATAATTCTAAATAGATTATATTATCTAAATAAAGCAGCTTGAAATATTTAAGATTTTTTTTTAGGATTCTTTTATATTTATTTATTATTGAAATAGAGCGAATCTATAAAAACATTGACAAAACATTTTTATAACTTTAAAAGTCCAATCAAAATTTATACTTTTTTGAATTGTTTAATTTGTATACTTTGTGGGATGAGAAAGATAATAAATAACACAATACTTTCAAATTTGAAGCGTCAAATAAGCTATAGGTCCATGGTTTATATCCAGGCAAACTTATATTTTTAATAAAAAAATAAGAAAAATAATTATTTTCGGTCTAAAATTTTTATATAAGCTTTTTATTCGTGTGTCACAATTATATTTATTTATAGTACCTTTTACCTTTACAAATGCTCGCACATTATTAAGAATTTTATTAGCTTTTCACTGAACGTTTACAGTTATTTTAAGTTAAATTTTTAACCTTTGAAAATACTTTAATAACCGATCTTTCATTACATTGTGCACAAGAAAAATGGAGTATCAATCGGCTCGATGCACCAAATATTTGTCACAACAATGTGTGGTTTTACTCGCGAGGATAAAAGGATATGACGCAAAAAAAAGGACCCGCATCGGTTGAAACACAAATAAATACTGTCACAGCAAAGCGACAGAAGTCGACTGAATGCCGGCACTAAAAATCGAGGAATCCGGGGAATCGGGGGTGGAATACAGCAGACCTGCCACCACCATATCGAGTGGAAGGACCACCACCACCACCGCACCACCAGCTGCATGTGGGTTAAGCGCAAACGCATGTCCTGTAGTCATGACAAGGCGGAAAGTCGGAAAGGCGGAAGAGCGGAGCGGAACCGAATAAAAATTTATCGATTTCCCTGCGAGAATTATAATATATAGCCAACCGCCCCGCCCCCTTTTGCCCGCCATAAAACTTCATTTTTTTATCGATATTAATAGCGTCTAGCGAAAGGGGCCAGATTTCCAGCGAATAGTGCATAAAATCCACAAGAATCGTGGGTGTGTGATGTCTGTGTTCCCAGCCTTATGCATGAATAATTTGCATAGCCAACTTAGGGCCCCTTTTGACCATCCTATACCATTCCATACCAACGCCACCCTTCAATCAATAGCGATTGTCGAGGTTATGAAAAGGCAAGTGAAGTGCGCCAAAGAAAAGGGAAAAATAATGCTGAAATGGTTTAACATTGATTGAACGATTTCCCCGCTTCTCAATCGATTGGAAGGAAAGTATTTTCTGAACAGCCTTGGTTGTGTTTTTCGAATTAGCATTTGATATGCATATTAGATAACCCACTAAACAACGCTTGAATAAATATAAAATGCAAAAAAAAAAAGGTAATGAAATCTTTTTATTATAAAGTTCGTAACAAGAATGTAACTTAAATATCAACAGAAAAGTCTTGTTGATATTTAAATGAAAAATACATTTTGTGACTTAATAAATTAAGTTGTCTACAAACATTTTCCTTTTAGATGACTAGTCATAACCTTTTAAGCACACACTTTTATCAATGTAAACATATTTTCTGCTTGCTCATATGCGGAATATTAGCAAAAATGTATCCATAAGAAACTAAAACTCCAGCCCACATGTATGGCTTCTATGAAGGCTAAACCCTTTCCCTTTTAGACAGACAGACTACCCTGATGACTTCTTACCATCCACCTACCAGCTCAATCAACTTAGTGGAAATAAAGTTGCCCTGGTTATTTTACAACGGGAGATAGAAAAAAAAAACATTTTCACAAGCCATTAGCTCGTATCCCATCAGGAGCACTAAGCGGTTTATCTCAGGCTACAAGGACTGCAGCAACAGCAAGGAAACAAGGACGAGAGTGGCAAATATTTGCAATTAGATGGGAAAACCCGGTCCAATATACTTTGCATACTTTGCTGAGCAATAAAAAAGAGAAACATTGCGCATCTGCAGGCCATTTTCTTAGCATACTTTAATGGCCGTGCCAATAAATCGCCAAAAAGTCTCTGCTGCGAAAAATAACATTTTTAATATCTCCGGCAATGTGTGACACATGCTGCGACTTGTTCTAGACCATCATTTGTTGTTTATGATTTTCTCCCAGATTTTTCCGCAGACGCCTGCTGCAGGCGTGCGTAAAATTAAATCATTTTTATAGACCTATTCTCATTCCTCCGCCTGTCAGCCAGACAATTAATGTTCCAGTCCGGAAACGTATATATATACTATATATTTCACACTAGACAGTGTCCTTCTGTATCCGGCGACTCGGATCAAATTTATGTGCATCTTGACTAGTTTTAAGTGGCAGCAGTTAAGGCAGAGCTCCGGCTGAGATCCCAGAGAAAAGTAAATTACCTAGATTTAAAGTTGCAAATCGGCAGAGTTGAACGAGTAGATATATAGCATACTGCCAGGCTTTGATTAAAAAGGCCCCGGGGAACAAAAACGAAAACTCTTAGCCAGCAGAAAGGTCAAAACAAAGGAAATAGGTAAGGAGAAAAGCCCGCAGTTTTCCATTTTAATTTGTTCTGTGTAAACACTGCGAGGAGAAAGGAGCATTAGCATTTCGCAAGTGTTGTTTAATCTTGTTCTGTACGATTGCTGTAAAGGAATTTTCATGATATTCTTGCCCCTGAGTTTACTAGTTATTTAATGCTGTAATTAAGTTCTGACGACATGAAGCTCTAATTAATGCGCCTCTGAGGAGAAATCACATGTTGCTAAGCTGCTTAAAATTTAGAGGACTTTACAGGCATTCAGTAAGACGATTAGATCTAGAGAAGGAATTTTGTCTGTACATTTAGGTAGCAATTCATGTTACAAAAAAACATAAATATTTAGTATTTTAAAATGTTTCCAATGCTTATTCCTTAGCCATAAAATTTATTTATTTCGACCAAGATCCTATTGAAACAAAATGCAATATATTTTACTAATCGATTAAATAAATAATTTAAATTTATATGAATTTTCTGCCCTTCTTCCAAGTAGACAAGTTAACTTAAGTTAAGTACACACAATTCCAATACTTGCTACATTTTCAACCCGAAAGAAGCAACTGAAATGGTCTAAGAAATATGCTTCTATTTGGTATGTAACAAGCATTTGGGCATAATTTATTATGCTCCAGGGAACCAGAACAGAACTGAACAGAAAGCAGACCGAAAGGAAGGACAATCCGAAGACGAGGACATTTATCAAGTGTGCAACTTGATATCTACTTGAATATCCTATGAATTCCTTCGTTTTCTTTGGCACTGCAACTTTTGGGAGCAAGGCAAATTTAAAATGTAAATCGCTGGCTGCAACACGAGTTGTTATGCCCCACGGCCTTTCTATGGTGCATTCATTCTCCGTTCTCGGTTCTCCCATCTTCATCAACATTTCCTGCTGCCTTCGTGCCTTCATTTTCGTCCCCAATCAATTTTGTAAATTGCAATTGCGATTGATTTGAAAGCATGTTGTTTCCCTCACCTTCTTTCCACCTCTGCTGCTTGTATGCATTTTGAATAAGATGAGAAATATTATCGGACTGTTGCCTCGGCCGCTGTTGAACAGGTGCAACACGGCGTATGCGCAATTTGTTGTGGTCAATGGATGTTGTGGGGTCTGGGTTGTGGAAAAGCCAAGGAAAAACTCTTCGGTTAATGGAATTGCAGCCATATGAGCTGGATACCAGACCAACAGCAAATCAATCAAGGTCAGAAGCTCCAGGCAACGTAAATTGCATTTGGTGGCCATCTTTTATTATTTTATCTTATCACAAGTCCTTGATTAATTTAAAATATTTTTAAATGCAT